ATAGGGCTTCATGACTCACAATTTGGTATTTATCTTCAAGTCCTATTCACACATTTAGATAAAACGGACAGCATTTGTCCGTTTGGTATCGATTTTTTTCGATTGGCCATTTGCCACCTTTAAATTATCTTGTAGTAATCGCATTCATAGAGTATCACTGTAATAGCGATGTATCCTATTAAATTTCCTTGTAGTTTTTTATGAAAATTAAACTTTGAAAAAAACGAAATGAACTGAACATGTATGTTTATTTGTGATCAGTCGTGTTCACCGGTACGTGAACATCGCTCAGTTGACCTTCAAACTCTGAAATGTATTTTCTAACGTTGTTCGTGAAACCGGTGCCTGAGTGCCCATAATGCATTTAAAAAGGGAAATGTCAGTTTTTTCTTAAATTTTTATTTTTAAATGTAAATATTTCAGTATTTATTGATCGAAAAAGTATGAAAATTACTTTGAAATGTGATAAAAGTCATAAAAAATCGCAATATGAAAGACAACAGCAAGTTTTCTGAAGTTTTTTCAATAAAGTGGAGATAGCACTGTTGATCTCTTCACAAAAATGAAGGCAAAAACATATTAGATACAAATTCCACTATGGTAAGGCTGCCAACTATTTTCTACCAGTATACTGAAAAATTCAGTAAAAAGCCAGTTTTTTCGCAATATCTCGGAAACGGCTGGATTTAGGCCCCAAATCTCGGCCTCCGGCTACCATATCCATGAAATTTTCCGCCCGATCGAATGGGACTTCTCATAATTTTCCCCGATTTTCCATTTTCCTTTTATAGCGATATGTTCATTTTCGGAAAATTTTCCAGGATTTGCAATTTTCCGGGAAATTTTCTTGAATTCGTTTTCAGCATACGATCGTACATTCATAAAATGAAAATGGTTGGAAAATCTTGGAAAACTCGGGAAATATGGAAGATTTTGTAGAAATAAAATGTACTGAAAATGACCCTAAATTTATATATGAGGCCATATTTTGGCTCCAGTGACTTTTCCGGGAAATCTGATCAGATAGAAAACTTCCTTGGGACTTCCTCTTTCCATATGTGTAAACAAGAATTTGCTTCCGACACACGAATTTTTTTTACGAATTTTATTAGTCTACTGAAAAAATCAGTAGAGTTGGCAGCCTTACACTATGGCCGATTTTGACGTCAAAAATTGAGATTTTGAACGGCAGGTTGGATCAAAAAGTTATGTACTTATCAGAGAGTGAAATAAGAATTTTTCAGAAGATCCGAAAGTAGGATATTTTGTGTTTAGAAGATCCCAAATTCCGGTTGTCACTGAAAATCAATGGAAAATAAAAAAGAATTACATTCGTAATCCCACACTTTTCCGTACACTTGTTCGTGATTTTTTTCCATATTTTGCATATCCACTATTCCCAGGTTCCGTTATTGACAGGTTTTACTGTATGATGATATTGTATTCTTCACTTATGTGTTTTATGTACGTTCAATGTGAATGATCATCGTACATTATTTCACATTGGTAACGAAAAAAGTATAAATTTTTTTTTGAGTTATCTCAAAAGTGAATTACAAGAAGATAATTTTATTTCATTTTTGCAATTAGGCGTAATTGCTTCATTTGAAATAAAAAATATGGATATTAAAATGAAATAATTTACGGTCCGAAAAAATGGCCTAAAGCTAAACTTTTTTTCGATTTTTGCCTGTTTCGGATCGTCTACATGGGAAGTTTATATGAAAACCTCGGAGCGCCGGTGTTTTACCGGTTTTGTTATACACATCAACAAAGCAGTCTGCTTCACCGTAGAAAATAAGTGCGCAGTAAGGAAACAAGAAAGTACATGTTTTGGCAACGTGGCTTCACTAGTGATTATGAATGAACGTAATTTCTCGCTTCATTTCTCATTACGTTCATTCATAATCGCTATAATGCAACGTTGCCGAAACCTGAACGTTCTTGTTCGTTACTGCGCACTTTTTTTCTACGGTGAAGCAGACTGCTTTGTTGATGTGTATAACAATACGGGTAAAACACCGGCGCTCCAAGGTTTTCATACAAACTTCCCATGTAGACGATCGGAAACAGGCAAAAATCGAAAAAAAAGTTAAATTTTTTTTTCGATTTTCATACAGTATTTCATCTGCCCAATCCAATGGTGTTATCGGCACATCGAAACTCGCGCTCCTTATCACTTAATTTTCACTCCGAAGCCTGAATCATCATTCCAATGGACTTGAAAGTGTATCGAACATTTTTGTTTCAATTAAACTGAAACACGATTTCTATAGTCCACAGATATTTTACAATTCACTTACAAGCGAACAGAATTTATGTTGCACTTTTAAAAATCAAGAATATTGTGTTACGGTTATCCATAAGTGGTTCAACTTTAGTCATTTTTATTCCCGACCACTCATACAAACGGTACAGACACGCTAGCATTAATGCAATTGCTACTTGATTATTACACAGTGCAACACATGGATGAGGGACTCACTTTAACTAATCGCTCCTGAAAGTACTTACCAAAACTAGAATTTCTGCATCTTTCTTTTTGCCAAGTTTTTAAGCTAGTTTAGTGGGAAAAATCACTCATTTGAAGGGAAATTTCGAGTTTTGAACCGATTTTTGAGCGTTTGGTGGACATTTGGCCAAATGAAGTCATGACAACAGCCATGTTTCAGTTTTTAATGTATGTCATATTAAAGTTTTTGTTCACAGCTAAAAAATAGGGCCAATACGATTTACTTATGATGTCCAGTTGGAAAGTTATGGCTTCCCAAGTGATGACATGTTCATTTTTTACACTATTTTGGCACTAAATATCACTTGAGCAGCCATAAGTACCCTACCAGACGACATAGGCATGTGGAATTAGCCTTATTTTTCAGCTAAGAACATCAGCTTTAAAATGCCACACCGCTTAAACTGAAATATATCACCAAACGCTCAAAAATCGGTTCAAAACTCGAAATTTCCCTTCAAATGAGTGATTTTTCCCACTAAACTAGCTTAAAAACGAGTTCACGTTATCCGCAGAGATACTTTAACGAAAATTCAACCAAAAAATGTGGAAAGATATATAGATATTTGCATGTAATAGGCCAAAATTCTCAACAAATTGACCATTTTTGGTACGAAAGAGTGATTTTGAGCCAAAGAGGTAGATAGAACATAATTTTTCTGTGTTAGTATGTTGAGCAAAGTTGTCCAATTCTACGTTGGCTACAAAATTGCTGAAGAGAGTGGCCATAAAAATTGAATACGCTGCGAGTTATGGTTGAAAAATGGTAAAAAATGGGCATTTTTGCGATTTCGAGGCCCTAAGTGCCTTTTTTGGGGTAAGTTTGTTCTGAATTTTTTTTCTCCCATTCAATACCAAATTTTGCTCAAGACACAAAAGCAATATTCCTTACGGTTCACAAAGATATAGCCGTCTCAAAATATCGAAAAAGTGCTCAAAATCAAGTTTGAGCAAAAAATACATAATTTCATTAAAATTCACCAATGAATTAGTTTTGGTAAGTACTTTCAGGAGCGATTAGTTAAAGTGAGTCCCTCATCCATGACCGAAAAAATGTTGCACAGTGTTATTGGTTGTGCATACACACGAGTTTGAAATTTTCAACTACCACCACATGAGTTGTGTCAGTAGAGCTCGTACCATGTTTACATTGAATATTTTGTTTTTGTCGCTTCATTCCTGCGGTTCTTTCATACTTAGGGAAATGGTTTTTGAAATGATTTACGTCGCTATTTTCTTTACAAAAATTTGAATCTACCCCCTCGATTTTCTTGAAAAAATTGGAAATTACCCCCTACATTTTGATCAAAAATTTACCCCTCCCCCGGCGCGCGGTGGTCAGAACCTATGCTGATGGAACGATTTTAATACTCAGAATCTACAGTCCACTTAAAGAAGTGGTGAGTTCCGTCCTACTATTTTTTCAAGACTTATCAAAGAAGTTTTTCAATTACAAATAGTAACATGTGTTTCCTTAACTAAAATAGAATGTGAACACTTTTTACACAAAATTCGTTTATTCTTGAATGAATCCAGCTATGGCTGTTCAAATTTGAATTTAAAATCTCATATCTCGGACGAAATATACATATATATTTATCTATTACGTTTCATTTTTTGTAATTCGGTTCTTGTCGATCTCCAAATTAATATTCACGGGTATGAAACGACAACAACAATAACAAGTATTTTCAATGTAAACATAAAACGAGCTCTACTGACACAATGCTCGATAGTTGAAAATTTAGATCAAGTAAGCGTATACACGGCCTATAATTCGGCGCAGACCATATAAGTCTTATGCTAGCGTGTGTGTTGTGTATATACCACTAGAGGCAGGTCGAATATTGTCGTCAGTATAAATGTCATAGCCACTTTAATATACAATCAGTACTTGGTGGTATCAATAATTAATTAAATAAATAAATAAATAAATAAAGATATATTATAAAAATACTTACGATAGTTGGTGACTGGCATCATTGCTTGGCGGATAGTTATTTCCCAACTTTTTGCTAGATGTGCTCCTACCCCGGAATCGGGTGGCGGAATCAAAAGAGGTTCTCCAATTTTGTAACTCAACAGGGGATCTTGTCCAACAAAGTAGTCAACATTTGTTGTACGTATTTGAAAGCAATGAGATTCGTTGCCACTAAGGTTGCGTGCTGTATCAATTGAAATAATTTCATTCAATGGAATTTCTTTGAAGTATTTACTGCCATGATCCGATATGAACAATATTATTGCTTTTGAATCCAACCGCCAGTAATGTTTCTTTACAGTCTTATCCTTGTTTGTATAGTGAACAAGCCAGCCTTCTTTGATGACTTGGCCACTACGTCGTTTTGTATGTTTTACTGATTGTACAATTCTCATTAGCGGAATGTTGGCACTACTTGACATCGGTTGCACAAAGTCAGTTGTCGAATGTTCATCTTGTGAGGCATCATTATCCACATCACGGTATATTGAGCCATTGAATAAACCAGAAGGTGTTACATTTTGCTTATTATTATTTGGAGACTCTTCGTTATCGCTATCATTTGAATCGTCCTTTAAATATACTTCACTTTCACTACTAATGCTGCTGTCGTTTAGTTCGCTAAAATTTGGCTCTTTTTCCCCGGGACAATCTTTTGGCACTTTATCAATACATTTTTTATGAGCATTATACTGACAATCTTTGCATTGAAGGCCTTGCTTAAAAATTCCACGTAGTAGTTTTTTACAAAATTGACAAACTGTCGGTCGTGTATATGTATGAACCGAGAAAGTGTGTGGAATTTTTCGCTCTATCAATCCAATCCCATTTCGAATTCCAGCTGATGACGATCGGTTTGATCGATTAGATGGTATTTGCTGGATTTACGGTAAATAAATTGGAATAGAAATAAAAAAAAATACCTTAGTTCAAATTTCACAAAAATGTTCACGATCTGATATATTCCATATTTCAAATGCTGGACATGAAAAAGAAACAACACAAACACAAACACATTTATATTTTTCATCCAACTTTGTCATCATTTTATTATGTAAATTGAGATTCCATTCTCACATTGAAAACTTTTTGTTATGATAGAAAAAATGTAAAATCTATTAAAAACTACATTTGACGTATCTAGAATATACCAGATCAGGTGCGTTTAGAATAAATTTTTAAAAAAATTCTGTATTGCATGTCTTATATATCAATATGATTAGATCTCGATTTACACCATTACACATTGTCAAATGAAAATATTTTTCATCTAATTTCGAATTTCATTCATAAGTTGCGCCATCTTTCTTACCAATGATGATGTGGCTGTAGAACTTGAGCTATCATCGCATGCGGAAGCAAGTGAATTATTGCTTGACGCTGCTGAAGGAACACGTGGAGGTTGAAGAGACGATGAACGTCGAGATGGATCAGCTTTACTGCAGTTATCTGGAACCTTGTTACAGCATCGCTTATGAAAATTCATGCTACAGTCCTCACATTTAAGCCCTTGTCGTACTAAACCAAACAACATTTCACCACAGTAATCACAAAATGTTGGTGCTTTGTATGAATGTACCGCAAGTGTGTGAGGTCGAATCGTTGGAATATCATCGTGATTATTTGCATAAATGATCGCTGGAAAACGGGAATTAAACAAATTCATTAAATATTAGATATAGTTTTTTTGTTTGACTCATAATTTTCAGATTTGTTTCCAAAAATTCATTAAAACCTTTAGAGGGTTTTTTGTGGTAAATTTTTTCTGTTCATTATCTTCTTTACAGTTTTCTTTATTTGGAGGTACGATTTCGAATTTTGTCATTTGTCAAAATAAAGTGGTTTCTAGAGGTGTCAACAGCGCTGCTATTGATCAGTGGCTGTTGGTTACGTTCTAGTGCATATGACACACTGTAAGCCTCGCGCGTCAACCAACAGCCACTGTTCAGCAGCAGCGCCGTATAGACAGTAGATGCAATGCTCTGAAATTTTGTCTGAAAACTAATAAGAGACCCTACAAAAAATTGTGCACTAATATCAGAATATTAATAATATCTTAATATTAATACCGATATGAGATTTTATCCGAATATTTAAATATGTAAATACCGATATTAAGAGGATATTATTAATATCGCTAATAATATTCAAGTAGTAAGATAAATGTTGATAGATATCAGTGGCGTAACTAAAAAATTTTTTGTGAGAGGTTTTCAATTTTTCACAAGTATTAGAAAAAATGCAAATGTGACTTTCTGAGGATACTCAAAGTGATGATTTTTGAAATCTTAAAAAAATCAACTTATTATGGTCTTTAGGGAACGTATTCTTTAACTTGGATTTCCAGACTGCTTAAATCGATTGAAAGTGATTTAATTCACAGATAATCAAATTGGCTTCTAGAATCTTGTATGAAAAATAGTGACTAAACTTCTCAGGAAACAGTATTTTGTGTGCCCAATCCAAATGTTATCGGTACATCGAAATGCAAATGCTAAATAATGAATGAATGAATGAATAAAATAAAACCAATGAAAAATACTACTTTGTTGGTTGCGAAAAATAAAATTGAAAACGTAAAAATCAATCATGGCTTCTCAAATTGAAATTTATGAACAGCATAATTGATAGAATGTAACAAAGAAGCAATATACGAAAGAACGCCACATGGAAAAGTAGATTCTAAAAAACGTTACATGAATTTGTGCCACGCTGAAGCTTATCATAAGAATACCCAGATATAGCGTATTGGTTAGTGTGCTAGCATTGTAAGCGTGGGGACAGGGGTTCGAATCGCATGTGTGCCGAAAATCTTTCTCTTCAAAATATCATTGGTTCTGCCAAAGGCATTGTGAATTGATGGACTACGGCCCATGTTAAGGCCCGTGGAGTGCTCCTGGAGGCACTTTAAGTCGTGGGATACCCGTGTACTCAATACAGAAGATGAGTTGGTTCGAGTACACGGAAAACACCCCATGTTTACTCGCTAGGTTGGTGTATATGATAAATAATATCCAATACAAACAATATTCGGTTACTGATGATTGATGAATATATCAGTATATCAGAAATTGAAAACATTCCTTCATTTGAAAAAACTAAAACAAAGGATGGGCTCTATTGGAGGTTGCGGTTGAGAACAGAGGTCGCAACGGGACTTTTTCGGGCAGATAATTTTTTCTCTCAGAATTTGATTAAACTTTGGATCTACATGTTTCAGACCAAAAGAAACGAATACTGTAGCGACCGCAGCTCATGTTACGCTCGTGTTGGTTAGAAATTCATGTAACGTTTTAAGCAGTGCCATTCCTAGCGGGGTTCAAAGAACCAGAGCGCACGAGCACCGAGAGCATTTGGGGGCGCTCGAACTTATACAAATGTCTAATTTACTTGAAATAATCGCGAGAGCGCCCTTTTTATAAATTGAAAATTCTTAATATTTTTAGATTGAATGCTCTTTTCTATACAAATGTCTTCTTAGTTTGTAACTCAGGGGCGCCGAAGGGAAGCGATAAAGCCAAGGGACAATTCACTAAAAAGTTGTATTACTTTTTTCACGTTGTATTAATTTTTCAGCATCGTTGTATTACTTTTGAGTGATTTACCCTTGAATAAAGCAATTCTTTATTTCGAAATAGAAAAAATATCTTTTGAAAACGAAGAATTGGTTTATCGCTTCCCTTCGGCGCCTCAAAGTTTCAAATTAAGAAGACATATGTATAAACAAGAAAGTTATAAACATTCTCGAGTCTTTTAGAAACTACGAAAGGACTTATTTTCAGCGTATGGTTCTGTCCCAGAAAAAATATCTAGATTTATCTTTTTTTTCATCTTTCTTCCGAAAAAGATAGAGATGATATCTTTGAGCTATCTTAAGATAATCTTTTTAGAAATATATCATTCTTTATTCATATACGTCAATTTGATGAATTTTTTTCAATTTTTTTTTGTTCTGTGAAAAATGCACGAAAATTGGCCAAAAAACTTTAATTTTTGAAAAATATCCCAATCAACAAAAAATTTCAGTTGGAAGATTTACGTGATTTACCCTGATTAAGAAGTGTATTTTTTTTCTATAAATGGGATATGTATATTTTTTTGACAAGTAGGACAAATCTGTAGTGTGAATAATCATTTGGAATCGATCGAATCTCTGATACAATTACTTGATGAACATCTTAATTTTTATCTAAAAAACGACAGATAGATAGTCGAAAAAAAACTGAAAAGATAATAAATAAGATTTTCGACATTTTTGAAAAATTATCTAGATAAGATAATAGATACTATCTATCTATCTTATCTTATCTTAATATCTTATCTAAGATAGATATCTTAACTAAACGCTGCTTATTTTGGGTCTAGTTTGTTATTGCATAACAAACTATAACTGAGCCTTTACATGAAATGTACTACATCACAATGGATGGATTAGATAGATAGCATACAGAGTACAATAAAGTTCAGGTCACCAAAAATCAAAAAAATCAGCTAAACTCAGTGATCGAAAAATGCTCACTCAGAGCATTTCATCACTCTTTTAAATGAGCAATGCATTGCTCGTGTGCTGTTGTGCACATACATGAATGTTCAAGAGCGAACCCTCGCTCCCATCGTAGTAGCTGTGTGCGAGCAGCTACTCACTCACAACCAACTCAACCGGTCACTCACAACCACTCAATCATTCACTCAATGTTTTACACAAAGAAACTCACTTGTGTACATCGCAATTGGTATATAGGAGTATACTGTGTTACATTGAGCGTTGTGTATAAGAGCGCTCTGAGTGAGTGGAAACTCACTCACTCAACCATATGACTTTGCGGCATTGAGTGAGAATGTACTCATACGATACTGCTGCTCAATACAAAGGAGTAAATACGAGACTCACTCAGAGCGCTCGGAGCAGAACGGGATCACTGGCTAAACTTCTGTATTGAATGCAATGCTACCACAATAACCACACAGAGAAAACTGAATTGGTGAACCCTGCCAGTTCTATTGGTGAAATTCAAAAGTTATTATTATTATTATTATTATTATTATTCTGCACCATACAGCGTTTCTTCGCCAGAGGTGGTTTTTTTGGTATAAATATTTGGTTATATATTTACAATATTTATAATGAATTCGTATTTTCAGTCTCTCCAAGTTCTATTTCTTCTAAAATAATCAGTTATTCTTTGCTTGACAGTGTTTGTGCTAACATTAAAATCAATTAAATAAGTTTTATATATTTTTGGAATAGTACTAGTATCACAATCATTCGTTTGATTTGGCTCTATGATATTAAAGTATTTATAAAATTCATTATATGTGATGAGCATGTAGTTAATTGGCTCAAACATTGAGTAGTTGTAGATTCTGGTCGGCAGCTCTAGGAATTCGGTGTTCCGTGTTCGGAGTCGTGGTGTTCTTAAGTTAATTTTCTCCATAATATGCTTCGACGATGTTTGGCCATAGATAACATTGTGTATGAAGCAAATTTGTGCGATTTTAAAAGTACCAATAGATTACATTATTGAACCCTGACGGTCAATTGGCAATGTTAGTAAATTTGTCACTTGTACTGAAATTACCAATACAAATGAAATATTCTATTGGTAAAATGACATATCACCAATAGAACTTATTTGCTTTAAAAATGTTGTTTTGTTTGTGCAATACATCATAATGTATGGAAATGAAAATGTTCAAGTATCATATTGGTAATAACGTTTTAATCTAAATTTGTAGTTAGTCACAGATAATAATTAAACATAAAAAGCAGAATCTGTTTTGGAATTGAAAAATCCAATGTTTTGGACCCCCATGGAGAAAAAAAAAACAAAGTTATTTAATGTACATTGTAGAATGTACGTTTCATGTAACGGTAAAAAGAGGGCTCGAGTGCCTTTGGCGCTCTTTCGTTCAATTTAAAAACACTAAAAATATTCAATTTATAAAAAATTATATATCGTCCATTCCAAGTGAAATCGACAAAAATTTGACTTCACTCTTCAGAATCCGTTCAAACTTTGCATGCGCTCTTGGTTTGATGAAAAACTATTGGTTCTATGCATCAATTTCCGGGCTTTATTTTTGGAGAAAACTCATCAATAACAAAATGAAATCATAATGGAAGCGACATCCTTTGCCTATATTTCACGCAATTTACAGAAACCACCTCAGAAAAGTAATTGCACTTCTGACCCTAAGTCTGAAGCAAGTGGTATTCAGAAGGTGCAATGTCTGAAGAATACAGCGGGGGCATAGCGGGCATTAATAATCAACTGATTTTTAGAAATTTTTGTCTCGATGTGTAAAAAGTCACTGAAAATATTTTCCATAAAAACCAATTTTTTGGTGTATTGTGCCAATTTTTCGATTCTGCTGTCAAAAATGGATATATAAAGTTAAGTTATTGTTAGAAACGATCAAATCTAACATTTTGATATGATTTTACCTCCGAACAACGGACCATATCTTCCCCACCCCCGCAAAATATTGAAAAACGCCCATTTTCGAGTGAGCGACTGCTGCGCCCCCTACAATGACAAGGAGCAAGAATCAAAATATGGTTTGATATGCTTGAGTCTATCGAGAAGGGTCCATTGCTGATAATCAACGCCAACCCGATACAAAAATAACACAGTGCA